ACGGGAGACAGAAGAGAGCACGATGAGAGTGAGAGAGAGAGAGAGGGAGGGATGGAGGGAGGAGAGAGGAGAGACGAGAGAGAGAGAGACGAGTGGAAGGGCGAGAGGGAGAGAGAGAGAGGAGAGAGAGAGAGAGAGAGAGAGAGAGGGACTATCTACTTACTATCTGTCTATATGTACTATATGTATATCTGTCTATATCTACTATATCTACTATCTTGCGTACGGTACAGTTTACACTTATCTTATGAGTCTGTATCTATCTGTCTGTCCACCTGACTCATCTCTGGTCTATCTGTCTGTCTATTGGTACACACACATGTATTTATGTATGCACATAAGTGAAATCAATGAATAATAATGTATTTAAAACGAACATAGGGCCTAATAAAAATATTGTTTGTTTGCCCTCACCCGACCGACCCGCCTAAAAGGGGCCCCACCCGACTCAAAAAAAAATTTGTTTCATACAAATTGTATCACTGTGCATTATATAAATCTGTAAGCAATACATTATAATGTACCAAGCAAAACAAACATTCAACATAAAAGGTATCTCCACACAAGCATACCCGAGCATGTATAGACACCATGCTGAATTTGTAAAGGCCGATTCAAAAAGAAAAAGCCTACCTACCTACCCAAACTTTTCAGCCTGGGTCGGGTGAGGGCAAACAAAGATTTTTTTAATTGTGGCCTGAATAATAATGAATATAAAACGAATATAATGAATCGCATGCCACCGCTGTGAATCACACGCTGTACTCACAATCTCGTCACCAGGTTTACACGAGTCCACCAGGTCGCCTAGCAACACGGCGTCTTTCGACCTCGGCAGACGACCCGGCGCGACCTTGCCTGGGCTCTCCTGTATCGTGATTCGCTGGTAGTTCTCATAGATCGTCTGCAAGCGCAACAACGACGCAGCACGTAAACATAAGAAATGCGCGAAACGACGCGTGAAAGTAACGTTGATCAAGGTTTCCCCTCCGTGTGTATCGCACGCAGTACACGCAAAGATCGTTTACGTTTTTTTTCGTAATCGTTTAGCAAACGATGTCCCGCACTAGACCTCATAACCCTTGCGGTTTTGCCACAAAGGCAGCAATTAATATAACCTTCAAGCTTCAGTTTTACTGAAGAAAGGATAAACGAGTGACAGTAACTTCATTTTATAGTAAAACAAGTAATTAATCGATTAGCAGTTTTAGCACGAGTTCCAATTCTCGCTCTAGCCGTCTTTATCAAGCCGAAAGTCTTTGTCAAGTTGCTTGCAATGGTCGCCAGAGGGCAGCACAACCGAAACCGCCGCTAACGGGTTAATTATTTGAATTTATCACAAGACGAAATCACTTTCGATAGTCCGACGCACTCCACGAGAAAACAAGAGAGCATTCAGATGAACTCCACAAGGAAACAAGCGCGCGCTCGGACGCACTCCACAAGAGCAACAAGCGCACGTTCCGATTCGCACCGCAACAGAAGCAAGCGTGCATTCGGACGTGCTCCGCAACAGAAACAAGCGCGCGTTCCGACGCGAGCACGCGCACCCACCTGCTCCATGTTGACTTCGAAGGGTCCCTTCGACTGGCACTCGGGGCACGACCCCGGCTTCACCTCCTGGTTCTGTCCCTGGTAGAAGGGCCCCAGCACGAAGCTACAGCGGTTGCAGTCATACTTGATCATGCTCAGCTGCGGCAGCACGCCTGTCGACGTTGTCACGACGCCGCTCGTCCGGATCAGCTGGTTCAGGTGCAGCTGCCTGTAACCACGGCAACAACGCAGACGATGAGATGATGGCAACGACGACCCGAAGGCAGTAAACGATGATGGAAGCGACGACGACGACGACGACGATGCGGAGGAAGACGACGCGGAGGAAGACGATGCGGAGGAAGACGATGCGGAGGAAGACGACGCGGAAGCAGTTAAACGAAGATGCAAGCAGTAACGACGTGCATGACGACGGTGCAGTTGGGAGACCGACCCGCAATGAGCGCTGTTATTTAGTAAAGTTATTAGGTTGCCTCGATATTTTACCTTATTATTGAGTGTGTGTCCTCACGTGCCTCTCTCACGTATTTCTGCCAGCACGTCCCCGGCAATCCCGCCACACCACCTACCTGAGTGAGAATAGGTCCCCTACTGCCGGCGCCACCTACCCGAGTGAGAATAGGTCCCCTA